CGACAACGTCAACGCCGGCGGTGCTGCACCCGCTGCACCGTATATGATTCTATCCTTCCTGTTCAAGATCATGGTAGAATTCATGCTTCTAGTATGTGCCCTAGATGTGATATGTTCATCTGCTATGCTAGTTCGCATGATTAGTTTAATCTCTGCTGCTGTGGTCATGATTTATCTTCTGTTTATTCGGATTAAATCTCGTGGTAATTTGCTCATATTTCCAACATTTGTTTCCTGTTGAAAGACCACATCGTCAAGATCCTCCTCTTCAAGCCCAGGCCCTTTCATCATTGGCTCCAGCTCTGGCTGATTCACTTTCACATAACTTGGGGACGTCGATGCCATAAACCTAGCTCATAACAAGTTCCAGGTTGCGAGCCCTAACCACCAGCACCAACGAGAAAATCACACCAAGGTCGCCTCGCCATGCCACGCCACGCCACGACGCGCCGCGCCGCGCCGCGGGTTGCGGGATTGAGCCGAGCCGAGGACAGAGCTATGCACGTTGTCTATATTTTTGCTGCATGGGAAAATTAATGAGTCATTAATTAATAATTAACAGACGCGTTAATTACTGAACCGTTTGGATCGTGACGACTCGGACGTGGGGTTTACTCCCACGACCTACCCGGCCCGCACTATATAGTCAGGCAGACGTCTACCCTAGCCGCCGCCGCTTCGTATGGTTTCTCATCACCGTTCCAGATCATTGCGCCGCCAAGCAAGTCTTCTCCATCCCTCCTTCCGGCGTGCACCGCGAGAAGGGACAGCAGGCCTCCGGAACCCTGCCTCTCGTGATCCTATACGGGAGAGGGGCGATCAGGTTTTTGGGGAGCGCACTCGCGCGACTGCTGGCAGCGACGACTTCGCAAACGATGACTTCTTCCCCGACCTCGGCAACCTCGTCCTCGACGACATGGGCGACAACGTCAACGCCAGCGGTGCTGCACCCGCTGCATCGTATGTGATTCTATCCTTCCTGTTCGAGATCATGGTAGAATTCATGCTTCTAGTATGTGCCCTAGATGTGATATGTTCATCTGCTATGCTAGTTCGCATGATTAGTTTAATCTCTGCTGCTGTGGTCATGATTTATCTTCTGTTTATTCGGATTAAATCTCGTGGTAATTTGCTCATATTTCCAACATTTGTTTCCTGTTGAAAGACCACATCGTCAAGATCCTCCTCTTCAAGCCCAGGCCCTTTCATCATTGGCTCCAGCTCTGGCTGATTCACTTTCACATAACTTGGGGACGTCGATGCCATAACCCTAGCTCATAACAAGTTCCAGGTTGCGAGCCCTAACCACCAGCACCAACGAGAAAATCACACCAAGGTCGCCTCGCCATGCCACGCCACGCCACGCCACGACGCGCCGCGCTGCGCCGCGGGTTGCGGGATTGAGCCGAGCCGAGGACAGAGCTATGCACGTTGTCTATATTTTTGCTGCATGGGAAAATTAATGAGTCATTAATTAATAATTAACAGATGCGTTAATTACTGAACCGTTTGGATCGTGACGACTCGGACGTGGGGTTTACTCCCACGACCTACCCGGCCCGCACTATATAGTCAGGCAGACGTCTACCCTAGCTGTCGCCGCTTCGTATGGTTTCTCACCACCGTTCCAGATCATTGCACCGCCAAGCAAGTCTTCTCCATCCCTCCTTCCGGCGTGCACCGCGAGAAGGGACAGCAGGCCTCCGGAACCCCGCCTCTCGTGATCCTATACGGGAGAGGGACGATCAGGTTTTTGGGGAGCGCACTCGCGTGACTGCTGGCAGCGACGACTTCGCAAACGACGACTTCTTCCCCGACCTCGGCAACCTCGTCCTCGACGACATGGGCGACAACGTCAACGCCGGCGGTGCTGCACCCGCTGCACCGTATGTGATTCTATCCTTCCTGTTCGAGATCATGGTAGAATTCATGCTTCTAGTATGTGCCCTAGATGTGATATGTTCATCTGCTATGCTAGTTCGCATGATTAGTTTAATCTCTGCTGCTGTGGTCATGATTTATCTTCTGTTTATTCGGATTAAATCTCGTGGTAATTTGCTCATATTTCCAACATTTGTTTCTTGTTGAAAGACCACATCGTCAAGATCCTCCTCTTCAAGCCCAGGCCCTTTCATCATTGGCTCCAGCTCTGGCTGATTCACTTTCACATAACTTGGGGACGTCGATGCCATAACCCTAGCTCATAACAAGTTCCAGGTTGCGAGCCCTAACCACCAGCACCAACGAGAAAATCACACCAAGGTCGCCTCGCCATGCCACGCCACGCCACGCCACGACGCGTCGCGCCGTGCCGCGGGTTGCGGGATTGAGCCGAGCCGAGGACAGAGCTATGCACGTTGTCTATATTTTTGCTGCATGGGAAAATTAATGAGTCATTAATTAATAATTAACAGACGCGTTAATTACTGAACCGTTTGGATCGTGACGACTCGGACGTTGGGTTTACTCCCACGACCTACCCGGCCCGCACTATATAGTCAGGCAGACGTCTACCCTAGCTGCCGCCGCTTCGTATGGTTTCTCACCACCGTTCCAGATCATTGCGCCGCCAAGCAAGTCTTCTCCATCCCTCCTTCCGGCGTGCACCGCGAGAAGGGACAGCAGGCCTCCGGAACCCCGCCTCTCGTGATCCTATACGGGAGAGGGGCGATCAGGTTTTTGGGGAGCGCACTCGCGCGACTGCTGGCAGCGACGACTTCGCAAACGACGACTTCTTCCCCGACCTCGGCAACCTCGTCCTCGACGACATGGGCGACAACGTCAACGCCGGCGGTGCTGCACCCGCTGCACCGTATGTGATTCTATCCTTCCTGTTCGAGATCATGGTAGAATTCATGCTTCTAGTATGTGCCCTAGATGTGATATGTTCATCTGCTATGCTAGTTCGCATGATTAGTTTAATCTCTGTTGTTGTGGTCATGATTTATCTTCTGTTTATTCGGATTAAATCTCGTGGTAATTTGCTCATATTTCCAACATTTGTTTCCTGTTGAAAGACCACATCGTCAAGATCCTCCTCTTCAAGCCCAGGCCCTTTCATCATTGGCCAGGCCCTTTCATCATTGGCTCCAGCTCTGGCTGATTCACTTTCACATAACTTGGGGACGTCGATGCCATAACCCTAGCTCATAACAAGTTCCAGGTTGCGAGCCCTAACCACCAGCACCAACGAGAAAACCACACCAAGGTCGGGCAGTGATACTTGATCACTCTTGAGTCAGCCTTGAGTTGGATATAGGCAGGGAAATACTGCCAAGGGGAGGAACACTCAACATCAACATGGTGTCGATGAGAGGTGGTGTAACAAACAAATTTGTGGAGTTTTTTTTCTAAGATGAACTAGATTCCTTTTCAGTTGAATATCCCTAGGTTTTCAATTTGACCAACATAACATGAGTTGTAAACAAAAATATTTAACAATTAGATTAAAAAATATTTAACGATTATACCGTTTGAAGTTTGTAATGATATAATTTTGTGATATATTCATATATATATATATATATATATATATATATATATATATATATATATATATATATATAACTTGTACTGCGTTAGTTAAATTAACAATCAACGGAAAAGGAGGGAGTAGACAGTTATATTTTACTTAATTAATGAGATGAGGAAGATCTTCTGCTTCCTTGAGAAAAAATTATTTGCTACAAGAAATGTTACAACAGATCATATGAGAACTGAGTAGCTTCAGTATCGACCTGACACACTAAACATCACACGAGCTTTCAGTAACACACAATTGCATTAAGTAGAATTTGAACAATAGTAAAGAAAGATTACAATATAACAAATCTTTGGATCCAATAGAATTACAACTGGACACTATAGGTTCTATCATCTGTGTTCATGGTAGCTTCAGATGCTATAGAGTGAACCATAGCCAGACGAAGAACAAGAGTGAAGCATTCTCCCACAACAACCAACTCTTGCTCAATGTAGGCTTGTATGCTACTAAGAGCTTAGTTGTTTGGGGAATGTCTTCACAAGTTGGCAGTGGTCATGCTTTCGGATCATCCTTGGAATGACAGCATGATACACTTGCAGCATCTCCAAGATTTAAGTCTTTCATATAATTCTTAGATGAACCTACACAGTTGCAAGAAAATTAAGGTCAATGAATTAAGCATTCTATATAGTATCTCAAAATTGACTCTTCTCGGGGAAATATGACCAGAACATTACATCATTGAACTAGCAAGGCTGTACGGAAGTAGATAACTGACTAACAGAGCACCAGACAGTAAAGTACAAGGTGTCTTTTTCATATTAAGTTTCTCTTTGTTGAGATCAACAAAATATCTAGGAAAAAGATAGGTAGTTAAGCTCAGGCAAATCTGATGCACAAGTGTGCACATCGAAGCGAAAGAGCGAAAAGCTTCAGTGTTTAAATTGAAATATACAGCCATATGGCCAGCTAGCAGAATGGTACGTAGAAAAAAGATACCAGTAAGGAAATCATTGACAATCTACAGCTAAGCTAAGTGACATAACAGCTCATAGCTCAACTATTATCGTGAGCAAATCAGTAGAGCATCAACCTGGAACTTACAAGACTTCTGCAACCCAGAGCAAAATTTATTTCATGATAAATGCTAAGCAACTGATTGTTGTTGAGAGAAAAGAAGCATTTGCATCATCATGCAAACAAGACACATTAATATTTCAGCCCATATTACTATCTACTCCCTCCATACCAAAATATAAGACGTTTTTGCAATTCAATTTGAACTGCAAGAACGTCTTATATTTTAGTACAGAGCTAGTAGAATGCAATTAGTAGCAGAGCCTGGGATATCAGACCATGACTTTATGCGTATTTGAGTATGGCGATTTACATCTTATATATAACTAAGGAGTATTCCACAAGAGAAGTCTTAAAAAAATTAACATGAAAACAAGAATAAAATGATATGCAGTTACAGACCAGATGTAAGATGATTGAACAAGCCAAACATTATACCTCATATCCTAATGATCTTGGCAGCCCTGATAAGAGGGTTTGCCCGGGCAATCTCCTCCCGGCCCGCAGTTTTATAATCAAATGAGCAGTCGTGGCTTTCTGAATGCCGGTGGCGCGGACAAAAGAGCTTCTCGCACCGGCAACGAAACCCGGTCAAACCAACTCTCTTGCGGCACACGTTGCAACGGTTAACAAACAGCACAGGCGACAATGGCGCAGCCGCCATGGCCATTGACACCGCATCAGCATGTTTCCTCTTTTTGGAAGTCTCTATGTGAACAACTTCACAGGGCCTGGACAAGAATTGAGCTGCCGGTGGTTGTGGTGGCGACTGTGGAGGTTGCGGTTCTGGTATTTGAGCGGTTGGTGGTGGTGGTGTGGTTGGGGAAGGAGGCGAAGGTGTGGAGGAGGATGGCTTCAGGATCTCGGCCTCGTCCTTGTTGAGATCACAGCTCTCCTGCGCCATTTGATTCCACACGGATAAACAAATCAAGCAAACTGAGACAAACCCCGAGCTTGAACAATCAGATCAGGAAGAACCGAGGGTAGAAAGAGCAAGAAATGAAGAGAAAATTCAGCAGAGAAACGGGAAATGGTTGATAATTTCTGACCTATTGGGTGAAGACCTTAGACACGAAACCCAAAAAGAAAAATTAGATTTAGACAAGAAGAGATCAGAGCGATTGGTTGGAGAAAACTGGAGCTTTCTTAGACCCAAGTAAAACGTGGAAATGGTTAGCAAATTCAGCAGAAGCTTCGCCAAGCAGGGAATTCTCCCTGGCCGACTCGTGAGAGGCCAAATCCCATCAACAATCGGGCCAGGAGAAGATAGTACACAGAGACAGAGATCAGCACGAACCACTGGGAAAACCGAGAAATGGGACCGAACACAAAAATCCGCGAAACTAGAGTAGGAGTATTTCCAGGCCAGATCAGTGCAGGCCAAACCCCGCAGGGAGGAAGCGTGCCGCAACGGCGTGGATCGAGTTGAGACAGACAAAGAGGCCGGCCCGCAGGACGGACGAACCAAGAGCAGCAGCTGAATCGGGGCGAATTCGGTCGCGTCGGATCGACGCCGAATTCCTCGGGCGCTCCGAATTGGGGAATTGGGAAGGCGGAGGAGGAGGGGAAGCGAAAGGTGGGAGCTTTGGGTGAGGGGGGGAGAGAGGCGACTTGGTGCTGCCCTCTCTTGAGGTGCCCGAAGAGCCAAAGAAGGGTGGATGTAGTGGATGGACGATTTTATTGATGTTCTTTGATTGGTTATTATTATAGTTTGTCTAATTCACACAAAGTTGAATCATCTATTTTAAAATGGAGGGAGTAGATGTTTTTTAAGGCTGTCATATCTAAGCTCCCACAATTATATAATGCATCAACAAGAAACAAAATAAAACTAAAATAAAAAATAGACCACAAACAAAGTGAACATCAATTTAGATGTGACATAATTATGTCACATCTAGATGTGTCCTAAACGGATCCTTATTATTATATGTGTTTTTAGGAGATTAGTTATGTTTTTGTCAAATAGAACAATGCCCGTGCGTTGCAACGAGATATAAATATTCTAGTACGTTAGCTTATGATTTACCTGTCAATAATAATGCGATTGTGTAAATAAATGTTCGTCAAATTCTGACCGTGAGTTACCTTATATTTTGATTAGAAGTTTAAGTAAATTAAAGTGAAATTGCTTCAAAAGGTAAGTAAATTAAAGTGATTGATTATCATATACATGGTAGGTTAGACGAAGGGACGGTTGAAAAAAAAGGTGAAATAGGAACCTTACGTTCTTTTTAAGCAGTAGAGATTCCTTAGGCTAGTCATGACATGAGTAACATAGGAATAAAATGCATATCATGCAATGTCGACTAGGCATATTGACGACATGATATAGCGCTAAATGAGTACAAAATTATGGATACCGTTATGGCTAGCTAAAACTAGAGAATGAGAGTACAAGGTATGAGTTCATAGAGAATCGAGTGAATGTTGATGTAGAAAAAAGAGAACGAAGCGAATGCACCGAAACTCAAGAAATGACATAGTGAGATAGTCCACTGAGCATCTCTAAAAGTTCGGAGGAACAAGGATGTTCATCAAAAGAAATCTGAAGCGATGCATTCGATCTGTTGTGGATTGGATGATTGAAAAACCAGCAAACATCTGAGATTGAAAACTCTTGTAATAGAGAATGATAATCTACTCTTCTGTAAGCATGAACACATGAATAAAATTATTTTTATTCTTCCAAATTACCCCCCCCCCCACCCTCACCTTTCTTAGGACTATCCAGCCTTCTCGAAATTAGGTCTAGTATCATGAATATAATACTACATCCAGTCATCCATACTGCATAGTATCATAGGTTGGTATCATAGTTATCCCATTTATTACTATGCATGACACATACTATTATATCATTTCATATGATACTCTATAATAGCATGATACTCAATCATATCTTTCCTTGTCTAATTGTGTGCCACATCCATAAAAATGTCTTGTTGGCATGCATTGTACTACCTATGATACTTTTATTGTGACCAACATAACATATTTTGTTGCCATCGCATAGCTCTTTCCAATACAATTTAGTCTGCAAGCCAATAAATACAACCATTTATGATACTTTTCACAATGAAGGTACTACCTCCATCCGGCTTTATTACTCCCCTTGTATTTGGGTCAAACTTTGGCCTTTGATTTAACTACCAACAAATAAGTTACTGATAACCCACAAGTATAGGGGATCGCAACAGTTTTCGATAAGTAAGAGTGTCGAACCCAACGAGGAGCTAAAGGTAGAACAAATATTCCCTCAAGTTCTATCGACCACCGATACAACTCTACGCACGCTTGACGTTCGCTTTACCTAAAACAAGTATGAAACTAGAAGTACTTTGTAGGTGTTGTTGGATAGGTTTGCAAGATAATAAAGAGCAAGTAAATAAAAGCTAGGGGCTGTTTAGATAAAGACACAACTAAGTTAATTTTAGTAAAGAGCTTTTTGTTACGAGAAAGTTATTTGTCCCTAGGCAATCGATAACTAGACCGGTAATCATTATTGCAATTTTATATGAGGCAGAGGCATAAGCTAACATACTTTCTCTACTTGGATCATATGCACTTATGATTGTAACTCTAGCAAGCATCCGCAACTACTAAAGATCATTAAGGTAAAATCCAACCATAGCATTAAAGTATCAAGTCCTCTTTATCCCATACGCAACAACCCCCTTACACGGGTTTGTGTTTCAGTCACTCACGCAACCCACTATAAGCGAATCATAAACATATTGCAACACCCTACAGCGGGAATCCCTCACGCTTGCGCGACACGGAGAGCACCATAGGACAACACCAATGATAAAACATGCAACTCAAACCAATCACGATCATCAAATAACCCATAGAACAAAACGGATCCACTCAAACATCATAGGATAGCCATACATCATTGGAAAATAATATATAGCGTTGAGCACCATGTTTAAGTAGAGATTACAGCGGGTAAGAGAGAGGTTACACCGCTGCATAGAGGGGGAAGAGTTGGTGATGATGGCGGTGAAGTTGTTGGTGAAGATTGCGGTGATGATGATGGCCCCCGGTGGCACTCCGGCGCCACCAAAAGCGAGGGGGAGAGAGCCCCCTCCTTCTTCTTCTTCCTTGACCTCCTCCCTAGATCGGAGAAGGGTTTCCCCTCTGGTCCATGGCCTACATGGCGTGGGAGGGGCGAGAGCCCCTCCGAGATTGGATATGTCTCTCTGTCTCTCTCTGTTTCTGCGTTCTCATATTCTACCCTTTCACCGTTTCTTATATTCCTGGAGATCCGTAACTCCGATTGGGCTGAAATTTTAACACGATTGTAACGCCCTCGATGCGGTTATATCTCCTACATGTCGAAGCACGACTTAGAGGCATAACCGCATTGAAAGCAATGTCGCAAGTAAGGTAATCTTCACAACAACCCATGTAAATAGATAAAAAGGGAAATGATACATAGTTGGCTTACACTCGCCACATCACACAAATACATGAATAACATTACAATCATCCAATACACTCATGGTCCGACTACAGTACCAAAATAAAAGATCAACCCCACATGCGACACGAACCCCGATCGCCCCAACTGGGCACCACTACTGATCATCTGGGAAAGACACATAGTAACGGCGAGAGTCTTCATCGAACTCCCACTTGAGCTCAAGCGCATCGTCTGGAGCGGTATCATCAGTCCCTGCATCTAGTTTGGAAGTAATCTGTGAGTCACGGGGACTCAGCAATCTCGCACCCTCGTGATCAAGACTATTTAAGCTTATAGGTAAGGCAAGGTAATATGTGGAGTTGCAGCAAGCGACTAGTATAGATGGTAGCTAACCTATTCGCAAAATAGAGCGAGAAGAGAAGGCAAAGCATGAACGAAGAACTATGATCAAGAAGTGATCCTAGAACAACCTACGTCAAGCATTACTCCAACACCGTGTTCACTTCCCGGACTCCGCCGAGAAGAGACCATCACGGTAACACACGCGGTTGATTCATTTTAATTAAGTTAAGTTTCATGTTATCTACAACGGACATTAACAAATTCCTATCTGCCCATAACTGCGGGCACGACTTTCAAAAGTTCAAATCCCTACAGGGGAGTCCCAACTTAGCCCATCACAAGCTCTCACGGTCAACGAAGGATATTCCTTCTCCCGAGACATTCCGATCAGACTCGGCATCCCGGTTTTACAAGACATCCTCGACAATGGTAAAACAAGTCCAGCAACACCGCCTGAATGTGCCGACAAATCCCGATAGGAGCTGCACATATCTCGTTCTCAGGGCACACTTAGATGAACACTACGTACAACTAAAACCAACCCTCAAGTTTCCCCGAGGTGGCGCTG